CACAGCAACGACTGCTGCTGCTGCTGCTGCTGCAGCAGCAGCAGCAGCAAGACCGAGTGCACCCAGCAGCAGAGTTGCAGCCGCATGAAGGTGGAGCCGCAGCAGCAGTAGATCTGCTACTGCTGCTGCTGCTGCTTCTGCCGCTGCTGCTGCTGCTTCTGCCGCTGCTGCTGCTGCTGCTGCCGCTGCTGCTGCTGCTGCTGCTGCTGCTGCTGCAAATCATAAGGCGCTGCCAGAGAGGCATGAGGCCGCGGATGCTGCTGTTGATGCTGCAGCACTGTTGCTGCTCCAGCCCCCCAGGCTGCTTGTGCTGTCTATGCAGTGCTGCTGCCCATATGCTGCAGACATCATCAGCATCTGCTGCTGCTGCTGCTGCTGCTGCTGCTGCATCGCCCCGTTGTAGCAGCTGTACAGCTGGGAGCAGTCGAATCCCAACGCTGCGTATTGCTGCTGCAGCTGCTGCTGATAGGCTTGTTGCTGCCACGCCTGAACAGCAGCACCACACGCAGCAGCAGCAGCAGCAGCAGCAGCATCAGAATCCACGTGTTGTATTTCCTACCCTTTTTGATGCTGCTGCTGCTGCTGCACCTGCTGCAGCAACCCCAGCAGCGCACTTTGGCGCTGCTGCTACGCATGCTGGCGCTGCTGCTGCTCCTGCTGCAGCCCCCGCTGGCAGCTGCTGCTTCTTTAGTGTGCGGCTGCTGTCCCTCCGGGTTCGGCAGCAGCAGCAGCAAGTGGCAGCAGCAGCAGCGGCAGCAGCAGCAGCAGCAGCAGCAAGAAGCTGGGGTGTATATACACCTCATTGCTGCGTCGGGGCTTCCACATCCCAACGCCTAGGCCGCCTGGAGCGGGCCCATGTCTGTGCTGGCTGCTGTGCAGCATGGTTGTTGTTGTTGCTGCTGCTGCTGCTGCTGTTGTTGCTGCTGTTGTTGCTGCTGTTGCTTCGCGCCTGCAGCGAGCAGCAGCAGGGAGACTGATGAGACAGGTGGCTAGCAGCTTCTTTGCTGTTGAGAGCTGCAGATACACTCCAATTTGCCCAGGGGGAGAAAGGACTGGAATTATACTGCTGCCGTTGTGCTGCTGCTGCTGCTGCTGCTGCTGCGGTAGGAGTGCTGCTGCTGCTGCAGCATGCTGCTCCGTGCTGCCTGGAGAAGTTTCTCATATAGGGACTGTCTTCAGCGGTGATAAGAATTTGGGGCGCAGGGCGTTTGC